TAAAATATAAAATACAATTTTTTAAACTTATATTTAAAACATATTAATTTTTTTCTAACGTTTGAAGGTACTAGAAGTGTTCCTTTTGTCATTTGTGGCCTTACATAAAGGTGAAGAACTGAAATAAAAACAAATGTATTTTATTATATAAAATAATCGAAATTGGTGCATATAAAAACTATATTATTTCTACATGGAAAAGTGTGGTTCTGGTTCAAATTCACCATAGTAAAACTACAAAAATGTAACAGCACATTGTGTCCTCTGTCTAAAGTTCTTTATACTCGACTCACCTAGGATATGCAATAAAAATAATAGCGAGAAATAACTTTACGCAGGTCGATACCCAACCGTGCATACGAACATACTACATTATAATGCACTCCCTAACTTTCGCGTGATTGGTTGGTCGGTGGATCCCAATTTAAAAATTGGCGGGTTTCATGTTTATTAAAATGACAATTAAGGTATTGTGGCACAGTATATCGCTAAACAATTTATTAGCAATATATTGTGGTATTGGTACAAAGCGGATGATATTCACATTTTAGGATTAAGCTGACTAGTACAGTTCTATTAGAAATTAAAATTTATTTTTCTTTTGACATTATGTAGGTAAAATTAAATTCTGACATAGTGTTTAGTTAATTTTGATATGCTAGTAATGCTTTTTTTATTAGATATATAGATATTGTTTTAATTTTTTTGTTTAGGTAATTTTTTATTAAGATTTAGAGGTTCCTCTTATTAGTTTTATTTCTAGAACATTCATTACCATTATTATTCTCGTTAGCTTTCTCTATGTGGAATCGGCTTCTCTAAGTATTTTCCTCTAAACTTTTCTGTTCTCTTCAAGGGACTAAGTACCTCTCCGCTTTTTGTATGAGATTATGGTTTTTCAGAAACACGTAATTTCTGTTCATCTCCTTTTTTACTGCCCTACATTCAGTACCATACATCAAAACTGTACTAGTCAGCTTAATCCTAAAATGTGAATATCATCTGCTTTGTACCGATGCCACAACATATTGCTAATAAATTTTTTCAATATAAGGTTGAATGTTCGAATAATTAAACTTTGATAGTATACAAGGCAACTATCGAACACAGTGATTAATTAAATCTTGCCCAAGTACTTTCGATCAATAGATCATCCTCAGGGGCATCTGAAATAAGCCAAGAAACGTTTTTTTAAGAAGGAAAATTAATTCACTTGGATAAAAGACTCCAAGTTTATGGTTGAAAAAAGTTTTTATGTGATAAACGTTTATAAACTTACTTCGTCAGTTGTGGCCTATCCGACATGAGTAGAATGTCATACATGTAAATTTGGACATACCAATACAATACACACAGACAAACAAACACATTTTTTTTATTGTAGTCAACCATCCACTGTCTAATATATTGTTTAGTATTTATCGGTATCTATATATGTTTATATATTTATCGGTATAAAGACAGACTTTATACCGATATTCTAGATGTCTCGTAATTTTATGGAATAATTGTTTCAAGTCCGCGAATAAGACTCTAACGGCATCCTTTAACTCATTGATGGTTTGTGGTGCCCGTTTAAAAACAGCAGTTTCAGCCATGCCCCAAATATATGCATCTGGAGATTTAAGTCTAGAGAATGTGCAGGATAGGGAAAGTCAGTAAATCGTGAAATGAATTTGTTTGGAAAATATCACTGGAAAAATTGACGAACTGCGACAGCAATATGGCAAGTTACCCCATCCTGCTGGAAAATTGGTTTCGAAATGCCAAATTATGTGCACGACAAAATTGGCGTAGATCAGGGATAAAGCGTACTAAAATTTGTATGTACTTCTGTTGATTAAGTGTGACTTGCCTACCATTTTCTTTAATAAAGTATGCACCAATGATTCCATGCTATCGATTTGTAGTCGATAAAACAAGTATATACATCACAGTTGACATCCCTGCACCTCTGGATAGGCACTTTTATAGCGAATGAAGCTTCTCTGGTGCCTAAGGTATCGTGGAATCCAAATTGTGTCCAAGACACATGTTGTTCGTTTTCTTAGATGAACTTCAACCTTATTTCCTCGTTCTATAAGTATTTTGATACTTAGTAAATGGTCACTTGTGCTGAATCCCTTTCTAAAACTAGCTTGGTTCCACCAACCAAACTTCTTTCGACTGGTCATCATCATTTAACCCGGATCTATCCTGTGCTGGATATAGGTCTCCCTCAGTCTTTTCCATGTATTTCTGCTTTGTGCTGTTTGCATCCAATTTTTGTCGATCCGTTTTATGTTATCAGACCATCTTGTTGGTGGACGACCTCTACTTCGATGTGCTTCTTGTCTCCACTGTATTATTATTCGCTGTGTCCATCTGTTATCCGACATTCTAGCTATGTGCCCTGCCCAGTTCCACTTAAGGGTCATAATTCTTTCTATGGCATCTGTCACTCCTGTTCTCCGTCTTATTTCCTTGTTCGTGATCCGATCCCTACGAGAAATGCCTAACATCGATTGTTCCATGGCTCTTTGGCTGTTTGGGTAACACAAATTTTATTTCTTACCTTCTAATCAAACTTCTTTCGACTGGTATGCGTCGAATTTTGTTGTCAATCTATTGGTTAAAATTTTTGTTAGGAGTTTATACTGTTCTGAAGCTATTTTCTTGTGGCATTGTAAATTAATTACTATTAAACTGGGAATAAGCCACAATTAAAGATAAAAATACGTTTATTGACGTTTTAATTTCCACTTTAGAAATCGTTCTCAAAATACAAACAGTAAATTAAACAAATTTTGTTTTTTGTTACATAGTGAAAAATTCTTCTAATAATTTAATTTTATGTGACTCATTTATATTGACAATTCAGACATACATTATGCATTTTAAAGTAGACGACTTTAAAATGATATTGCCAATATTGTTGAGTTGCGCTCCTGGGACGACTTTACTTATAAGATAGTTCATTCGATTACATGAAATCAACTTTAACTTGAGTATGGGATCTGGTGTATTAAGTGCCACCGGTTGGTTTGTAAACACAGTGCGCTCCCATTACTAGTACAGGTTATAGTTGTCATTTTTAAACATTCTGTCAAAGACATATTGATAATAAGGAAGATAGTCGGTTTTGAGAAGTCCTAGTTTGCTAGCTAGTCCTTTGTAAAGAATCTTTTCTATTGAGTCATGACTTTATTTGTAATAATTGATGGATTCGATCGTTACTCGTGGAAATTCATTTTATGTAACAATAAAACAATGAAAACTTTGTTTTCAAACTTCCACAAAATTTATCTTAAATATTATCACTACAGCTGTTTCGGCTGATTGCCTTTCTCAAGTGATCTATTTTGGCTTGGGTTTACAAATTTATAGTCTCTAATGAAATAGGTTGAGGAGGGGAGAACTGTTTGTCTCAAGTTGGTCATTCAGAATTATATCTGTGTTTTTTAATTTGTTGATTTCCATAGATTCTAACAAAGATAGCTTAAGGCCTTTATTTTGAATGTGAAGAATTTCACATTGTGTAATGACAAATTTAAAATTCTTCACATTCAAAATAAAGGCCTTAAGCTATCTTTGTTAGAATCTATGGAAATCAACAAATTATATAACACAGATATAATTGTGAATGACCAACTTGAGACAAACAGTTCTCCCCTCCTCAACCTATTTCATTAGAGAAATTTGTAAACCCAAGCCAAAATAGATCACTTGAGAAAGGCAATCAGCCGAAACCGCTGTAGTGATTATATTTAAAATAAATTTTGTGGAAGTTTGAAAACAAAGTTTTCAGTGTTTTATTGTTACATTATTTGTAATAAGTACCGACAAATATCTGGCAGTCCCCCGTAGCATGTTGGATGGTTTCTTGGACTTGACATCTGTACCGGATTTTGTCGTTTTTGACCTATGGTCTTTGTATTAATATATTTTTAATTTATAATTTATTTCAGGTAATTTCTTGTTGGAATAAGCTGGTTCTGAGTGGCAAGTAGGAAAGCGTCTGTTTTGGTAAACATCTTTCCTTATGTCAACCAATATTTCGACGCTGTATTGTCGACAGATGATCTCATTGGCCATTCATGCAGAGGTTAATTTATCTAGGTGCCTATTTTTTTCTTGCTTAGTCAGGTGGTTTATGATCATTTTTTGTTCCCCCAATTTGAGCGGTGTTGTGTCACCTACTGCGGAAATTGCTGCTCGATGTAAAGTAGATGTTAGCCTGCGCCTGAAAATAGGTTATTAAATTAGCAGTCTGTTTATCCAGTCCGTAAGTCCTCTTCTCCCTTAATACCGCAGAAATGTTGTTTTCTCTACTGCACTGCGTGGACGATGTTTTTGCGTATTTGTGAGAAGTGTTCTTACTTTCCTATGAGTCCAGTAAACCATCGCTAAACAGAACCAAAGTAGAGTCACGAGTCGAAAAAGCAGTATTATTATTATTATTATTCCATCGCCCCCTCCCTCTTAACAATAGTGGATTCGCCGCTAACTCTCAATCCCCTTTCTATGATGAAGATCAGATAAGAAAACTGAGAAAATAGTTTTCAGTCTATATATAAGCGCCTTAAGAAGAAGTAATATCAAATATAAACTTAGAAGGATTTTGAGTAATAATAAAAGAATTGGGTGCATATTTTAAAGAAAACTAATTGAAAATCTGTATTTACGGGAATGCATAGAAAGTAGGTCTAACAGAGCAAGAATTTTTTATTACTGTTTTTATGTACCTAATCTAATCACTCAATACTGAGCTGTATAGAGTTCAAGAATTGTTGAGCTGTAAGTTCCTGAAAGAAGCAAAAGAAAAGACCATTGTAAGCCGCTTATACACAATATGTATGTAAAGGTGATTAATATTGCTGTGACCCAAGATATGAACTTATAGAGAAATGTAATTAGAGCTTGATGATAAAAAATTGACTGAAATTACTCTTTAAAAAGACATTTGTTCTCTTGAACGAATTATCTTTCAACATATTGGTTCTTGTTTATGTGTTACTATTTTATTGATAAACATTATATTGAAAACTTACGTCAGGATTTCTGTTGTAATTGCATTCGAGCATTCCAAAGATCTTATCAATAATGGGCATCTTTTCTGAAAATTGAGAATTATCATTAGTAAAGGTTATTAACTAATAAACGGATAATAAAGGCTTGTTATCACACTTATTTTGTTTTTGATAAAGGTACGAGTATTCCTTACGCTACCTTTTAGTCAAAAAAACATAGATAAAACGATTTTTAGAGAATATTTTATCTCTACTTCTGGGTCTCTCTACTTCTTTCTGTCGAAAGAAGTAGAGAGGCTCATTTGGTATTTATAGACCTTGAGAAAGCATATGATAGTGTCCCGTTAAAGAAAATGTTTGAGGTCCTCAAAAGGTCCGGATTGGATTCGACGTATATCCGAGCGATATATAAATTGTACGAAAATGCAGTTAGTTGTGTAAAAATTGGAACCAGAACCTCAAATGAATTTAAAGTCACTAAAGGCCTAAAGCAAGGATGCTGTTTGTCACCGACACTCTTTAAAATATACAACCAAGAAGCATTGAGGAATTGGAGAAATAAATGTAGATTTATGGGCATCGAAGTGGGACAAGAAACTCTGTATACATTGTTCTTTGCAGATGATCAGGTGGTGGTTGCAACCGATGAGGAAGATATAAATTATATGAATCGAAAATTATTTGAGGAATATGCCAAATGGGGGCTTACTGTAAACATAAGCAAAACAGAATATTTAAAAATTGGAGGAAATACCACAGATCTGAGGCTTGAAAACGCAGTCATAAAAGGCTGCAACCAGTATAAATATCTAGGAAGCATCATATCAGCAGATGGCAGAGTTAAGATAGATGTACAAAACCGAATAACCCAAGGGAAAAAATGCATCCGAATACTGAATTCATTACTGTGGTCTAATAAAATAAAGATGCATACCAAACTTCGCGTATACAGAGCAATTGTAGCACCGATTACCACATATGGTGCCGAATGTTGGACGATGACAAAGAATGAACGAGATAAAGTAGACGTTGTGGAAATGGATTATCTTAGAAGGTCATGTCGAGTATCGAGAATGGAAAGAATCAGGAATGAGGAAATACGAAACCGTACAGGAATTAGAGATACTCTTTCAGATAGAATACAAGGAAGGCAATTACAATGGTATGGTCACGTGATGAGAATGGAGGAGGAGCGGTGGCCAAAGAAATCCTTAATGTATGTTCTGCCAGAAAGAAGAAAAAGGGGAAGACCACCAAATTCCTGGAGAAGAGAAATTACAAAAACAATGCAATCTAGAGACTTAGAAGAGGGAGATTGGAGAGATAGGAAAAGATGGAGGCTGAAATGCGGGAAGCGGCAATCGCCGTAGGACCCCCGTTATATGATGATGATGAGAATATTTTACAAGATAAATATAAAAAACTAGCCAACCTGTAAAATATTGATGGCATTATTCTAAGGTAAAATTGATTGATTTAGGAGTAGACCTGAGGTTAAAAACATGAGAAGCGATTGGCTTTAGGATCAGCGCTTCCAATTAGAATCATATAAAACGATTCGATTTAGGATCAGGACTTATGATTTAAACATCAAAAACAGATCAGACCTTCCAGTTAAAATCATGAGACAGACCTTATCAAGACGTATACCATATTTTATGAATTTTAAGCAGGCTTATAATTCAATTAATGGTGTGAAACTATGAAACGCAATGGTTGAGATAGGGACACCTAAGAAACTGGCTGCGATAGTGCGAATGTGTTTAAATAACTTCTGTATATATATATATATATATATATATATATATATATATATATATATATATATATATATATATATATATCGGTTTAAAACGTCCTCCGACGTCTTCCGATGCCCAATCTCCATGCATCTCTGTCTTCCCAAAGATCTTCGTCTAAACCTCTCTCTCGGATCTCTCTGTCTATTCCTTCTCTCCAACTCTTTCTGGGTCGGCCTCTTTTTCTCTTTCCATGTGGTGACCAATCTATAATCTGTTTGGGCAGACGATGTTCTGGCATTCTCTGCACATGTCCATACCACTTTAGTTGTTGTACTCTTATATCTTCGACAATCGTATGTATGACTCCCATAACCTCTCGTATACGTTCGTTATTAATTCTTTCGAGTTTTGATTTTCCTGCGGCTCGTCTCCAGTAGTCCATCTCCGTGGCTTGTAGTGTTCTTTCAGTAGTTGCCTTTAACTGCCACACGTCACTTCCATACATTACTATGCTCTGTATAATAGTGTTGTATATTCGATGTTTTTTTTTATATATGTTGATCCCAGATAATACTATTTAGTTGAGATATGGCCCTTCTACCCTGAGTGTTTCGTTTTTTTATAGCCTGATCTGATTTGCCGTCGTCTGTGATTTCTACTCCTAAATAGGAATATTTATTGTTGTACTTAAAACAATAAACAACGTCGTTTAAAACTAGATTTTGTTCTTTACCACCGATGTTCATGTACATTGTTTTATCTATGTTGACTTCTAATCCCCATTTTTTGTATTCTTCGATTAATTTTCGAGTCATGTATTCTAGGTCGTCATATTCGTTAGCAATCAGAATTTGATCATCAGCAAAACATAGAGTATACAGGTTGTTATTGTTTAATTGTATACCCATGCCGCTGCATTTCCGCTTCCAGAGTTTTAATGCTTGTTCCAGATATATTTTGAAAAGTGTCGGCGCTAAGCAGCATCCCTGCTTCAGTCCTTTGTCTACTACAAAACCTTTGGAAACATTCGTTCCTATTTTAACTTTGGCGTTGGCGTTCTCATATAGTTTTTCCACTGCTGTTATGAGATTTGAGTTGATGTTCGTTTGTCTGAGAGTGTTCCATAACTTATTTTGAGGGATGCTATCGTAGGCCTTTTTTAGATCAACAAACAAAAAGTGGACTTCTTGATCTACAGCAACCTTTTTTTTTCTATAAGTTGGGTGATACAAAAAAGGTGGTCTATGGTCGATCTACCAGCTCTAAAACCCGCCTGTTCTTCTGCCTCCATATCAGTGTATTCTCTTTCTATTCTATTTTTGATCATTTTCCCATAGATTTTACTAATGGTACTAGTAACTGCTATTCCACGGTAATTGTCGCAATTTTGTTTGTTTCCCTTTTTATGTAAAGTTGAAATGGTTGAGGTTTTAAAATTCGGCTGGAACCTCTACTTTGTTTATGCAGTTTTGAAAGAGTATTGTCAAATGCTCATATGGTTTTTCAGTTCCATATTTTATCAGTTCTGAGGGTATATTGCCAGGTCCGGGCGCTTTTTTGTTTTTGAGTGAAATACAGATATCCCTTACTTCCTTTTTCGTGATTCTTATAGGAGATGCTTCAACGCGTATGTTTTGGTTACTTTCTTTTATTTTGAATTCCATTCGATCTTCTTGTAACAGTTTACTGAAGTACATGTCCCATGTTTCTAACGAAATTGGTGAGATTAAATCTTTTTTCTTGTCGTTGGTCCTAAGAGATTTAATAAGTTTCCAGCTTTCTGTACTTCTAGTTCCTCCTATGTACGTATTTAATTTTTGACAGTTTTGATCCCAGGATTCATTTTTTTTTCTGTCTTATCATTTGTCCTTATATATATATATATATATATATATATATATATATATATATATATATATATATATATATATATATATATATAGATATAATAACTTCTGTGCCCAATTTAAAATATAAGGAAAACCATCAAATGCTTTTTGCGTAAACTCTGAACTAAGACCGGAAGATCCGTTGTCCTAGCTGACTAGCTGGCTTAGCCACCTGGGGACCAAAGACTGTTCTTGCCTTTACTGATGATATAGTGCATAAGTAACCACAGTAAGTAGCGCAGTAACCAGTAGAAACTTAGGATATTTTTTAAATTTGGAAAGAAGTTGCATTAAATATCGGTTTAAACATAGAAGAAGAAAAGTCACGTATGAAAGCGAATCATGGACACCAACAAAAAACGAAAATTAATAAATTACTGGTGTAAAAAACAATCCATTGAAGTTATATATATATATATATATATATATATATATATATATATATATATATATATATATATATATATATATATATATATATATATCCTTGCAGAGGTACCATCACAATAACGAAGTAGTTGTTTTATTAGGACAGAAAAACGTAGTAAGATACATTAAGATCAATAGACTAAGATAGGCAGGACATGTGGGAAAGAATAGGGATAGCCGACTAATATATAATGTGTATTGGGAAAGACCAGAATGAACAAAGAGCTGTAAGAGCCTAGAAAAGGGTAGAAAGATGCAGTCAGAGACGATCCGTCTCAGAGACGATCCGTCTCTGACTGCATCTGACTGAAATTGGGCAAAGACAGTAGGAAAGACTATTTAAGGAACCGACAATACTGGCAAGTAAAAACTTGACTAGCAGTCTATTTTAACTTTGGATCCAAACACGGAATCACTGTTCCATCATTAGTACTTTTCCTAAAACAAGTACATATTACCACTTTAACTAAATCACACTTGAAAATAAAATTTTGACTAAGGTTATAACAAAAATGTGGTTTAATACTTACTAGGTTAACATGTTTGAAGCCACTAAATACATGGGTAATACTTATTTTCGGAAAAGCACTGATGATGAAATATTCATTTCGAAAACGTTGTGTGATGTAGGACAATAGGGTTTTTATACCAATATACTTTTTACAAAGAAGTCTTTAAATAAAAATGTTGAACGAAAATAACTTTATACAAGTAGCCCAGGATAGAATCAAGGTTACTGTAATTGTCGCCGACCTAAACAGAGATGGCATATAAGAGAAGGAAGGAAACCAGCAATTCCATGGGAAAGACACATTTTTACGAAAAAAAGAACGCAGGAGAATATTTCCAAGATAAATAATACAATAAGGCCTTAAAGTTAGTAAAATTTTTAAGTTTTAAATCTACACTTACTGTAATTTCTGAACTGTGAAGCACACATCAAATAGCCGATGTATTCTTCTTCCATAAGTTTCTTGGGCATGTATAGATCCAACATAGCCTTGTTCATAATCATATCAGTGTTAAGCTAAAAAAATAGTACACATTAATAATTGCTAAGTCCAAAATAAAAAAAAACTAAATATTGTGATTGGGTCTTATGTCCGTAATAAAACTAAAAAAATCCATTTTATTAAAATATCGATATTTTGCTAATGATTGATTAGCTCCATTAGAAGTACTTTTTCTTTGTACTAAAGCTACGGTTTGTTAGAACAGTGAGCAGCGCATGGCATACACGTAAAGCAGAATCTGTTTTACTCGACTCAGGGTAGTTTTGGGTGAGCCGGTGTGTTAGATTAGTTTGCATATATACATACAAGTTGTACGTTTAGAAAAATGAATTCTGGTAAACTTAACGCAATAATTTTATTACTCCAAGAAGAGGAGGAAGAAGAGTAGATGGTAATATCAAATCTGAATAAAAGAAATAAAAATGTCAACAAAATTTTTTCATGGCGTAATACAGAAGGTGCTTTTAAATCAACAGTCAAAAGAAGATTGTTTCAAAACACGGACAAATTTCGAGAATATTTTAGACTTCCAGGAATTTATTTGGAACTGGTATATTGGAGGATGCTGTCTTACTATATCCACTAGCCTTCCATCTTCATAGTTCAATAACACAAGTTTGTTATTTACTGACAAAACATCAAAAATGAAATAAAGATTTACTTTTACATATACACACCATAATACACCTGCATGCAAAACATGTTGCATACCATCAAGACAGGTATAACACATTACTTCCATTAATAAAACATGAAGAACACCTAGAATTTTAGCCTTACATACCTTTTAATTACATTTTACTCATACTATTTTTGGTTTTTTCTTTCTGTTCTCTATGGATCAGTTAAAACACACCATTAAAAGATGTCACAAACGAAGTTTTACTATCCTTAACTAAATTTTAAAATGTATATTGTCCATTATTTTATATGTTATACTTTATATGTGTGTTATTAATGTTGAGCGTCATAGCTTTATATAAATAATCGCAATGACTAATAAGCTGCACTGACAATTTGTGATATATTTTAAATATTTACACATTCTTCTAATTACAGTGTCTTGAAAAAGGAATAAAACAATTGCGAAAACTAGACCAAAAGTCAAAAGAGTGTTTCTGTAAAATTCCGGCCAAACTTCTGACTGCAGCCCTAATAAACATTGGTCTTTGTATATATATATATATATATATATATATATATATATATATATATATATATATATATATATATATATGTATATATATATATATATATACAATGTAGGATAAAGTTTATGGTCGGTATGGGCTTACGTGAGATGGAGTGAGAAACAGCTGTTTAAAAAGAGAGAGGTATATTAGGTCCGCCCTTTATATCGCCGAACATGCAAGCGTGGAAATAATAAAAAAGGGGAAGTTTAACGTTGTCAAACTTATGGGTTTTATTTGACCTGTTGTCTTTTTTGCATTTGAACAATGTTCTAAGATAATCAAATTTGGGCGAAATTGATGTAAATGGCAGCTTACTGTTTTTTATTGGGAATAGGCCACAAGTTTACTTTACAATAAGTGTAATATAACATTTTGGTTTCCACGGTAATCGTTTTATATAAATAAAATTTATTAATGTTTCGTATTTTAAGAACGATTTCCGAATTAAAAATCTAAACATCAAAATAAGCTTATTTTAAAGTCACATTGTGCCTTATTCCCAATATGAAATAATAAACTGCATACAATAACGCCACATTAAACAATATTCATACACAATAATTATTTGATAACGTCTGTCTGGTCAAAACAACGAGTAACGAGTAGTAGAGGTGGGTCGTGGTAGTTTTATCGTTAAGAACGTAGGCACAAAATTTCGGGCCAATATTTTTTAAATGCATTCATTTTTTTCGAATCCTGAGAAAACTAATAAATATTTTTGAAAAATTTAACGCAGAATGAAACAATACATTTTTACCGAGGGTCGAAAGTCCCTGAAAACTTCTATAGTGTTTATTTTAATAAGTTATAGGGGTGAAAAAAAATTAGTGTGATTTTTAATTTCAAATATCTCATTTAAAAAACTTTTTGTTTATTCTAAGAGACTTTCGGCCCTCGGTAATAATGTAATCTTTCATTTTGCATTTAAATTTTTCAACAATATTTGTTAGTTTTCTCAGGATTCCAAAAAAAATTAATGCATTTAAAAATTTAAATTTTCGTAAACAAGTAACTATGATTGTTTAAAAGTAGTTTCAATTAAGAGAGTACCTACATAAACAAACATAATGGCTATTATCGTTTATGTGTATATTTATTGAAGTGAAAGAAACTAATGATATATTTATTATAACTTGAAAAATAAAATAAACAATACAAATAGTAAATAGTACTTACATTTACATTACACGTTATTATTAAATCGCGAATAGTCTAAATTGACATTAAAAAACATAAGGTTTTCTACTTTACTTCTTATTAACCGTGTTCTTCTTTATTTCAAATTAAACTAGATTTTGAACATGTGTTCACATTGACAATACTTTATGAATATAGTGGTTAAGTTAGGATATACATGGCGATGGTTTTTCCACCGTTGTAATGGACTCTCCATACAGGTGTACGTGTAGATGAGTCAGTTCCAATTAATTGATCAAAAATACACCATGGATTTAGGTCATCTTTATTGGTTTCTTTTTCTTGTACTGGTTGATTTTCAATAGTACAATCTTCTTGTTTGTTAATTATAGAAGTAACCAGCTTCTTAACTTTTTCTTTTATTTTTTTAGCTTCATTTTTATCAGAAAAACCCTGCACTTTAAATGGTGAATCCATACATGTACATAATGACAATGTGCCACTCTGTTCTATCCCTTTAAATCTTTTTGCTAAACCCTATATTAGTAATTGTACTACGTCGGATACTAGGATGTAAGGTTACCGTTTGCTAAAATTTTATTGCAAGTTTTTATTGCACTGAACTACACTTCAAGTATTTTTGGTCACTCATTGTACTTGCTATTTCTTTAAACGGCCGTAAAATTTGGGAAAGTTGAGAACAAATAATCCAGTGTTCTTTATTTAGATTTGGTCTAAGTCTAAGTCTGTATTATTTAATACCGATGTGGAACGGATTGCCTCTTCTAACTCGGTCATTCTTTTTAATATGTAATAGGCGAAGTTCTACCTAGTGTCCACGTCTTGTATTGGCCGTTTGGGAACTTCGTTATGTTGTAATTAATACTTTAAAAGCCTTTCTGAAGATAAGGTACTTTTTTTAATGTGTTTTTTGCAGAATTGTCAAAAAAAGGACTTTTTATTTTATCTATTACCTCTCCACCAATAAATTTAACGTATGAGCAAAACAACTTAAATGTTTTCATTCTAAAACATCTTTAATAGCTTTGAACATATTTGAGGCATTATCAGTTACTGCAAAATTTATTTTTGATTTTAGACCCCACTGATTAATAATTTTATTAATCGCTGTTTTCTGAATTATGGTTTCCAGAAAAATGGCAGCAGCCTAATAAAACCGTTTTAAATACTAAATTTTGGGTTAAATATTGTCCTGTTAATGGGAAGTAACTCTCAGTTACTCCAGATGTCCAGAGGTCAGTAGTAATACAGATATTTTCTACTTCTTTAACAACTTGTGATCTAATAATTTGCTCAGTTTTGACATAACATTCCTAAAGAAATGAACCTGACAGTTTTTCTTGTCGGCGGTTTATATCCAGGAATCCACCCTGCAAACTTTTTAAAAGCTGGTTCTTCAACTATGGAAAATGGATGAAACGAGTCTTTGCATAAGTTTAGTAAATCTTGAAAATCAACCAGTACAAGAAAAAGAAACTGATAAAGATAACTTAAATCCATGGTGTATTTTTGATGAATTAATTGGACATGCCAACTCCGCCTGGGATACCGTGGGAAATCACAGTGTCACAGCCGGTCCTAAGCCCGCATAAAGGAGGAAGGTTGGGCAATGGGCTAGTCACCCATTACTGTAGAACAAACCCCGACTACGAAACCTATACAAAAGCCGCATATGCGGATGACATTAACCTCATGTCCCGCAGAGTGGATGATGCAACAGAAACATATTCGCAGCTGAAAAAAACGGCCAAGGAGATTGGACTTGAAATAAATACACAGAAGACAAAAATACTAACACAGACGCGGACAAAGCGAACAAGAAATCAAATCAAAGTAGAGGATGACATTGAAACAGTGAAGAGTTTTACTTATCTGGGAGTCGAAATGAATACGGAGGGAACAGAAGAGGCCGAAATTCAGAAGAGAATAATGAAGGGAAATAAAGCCTATTTTTCCCTGATTAACATATTCCGCTCCAAGACGGTACATCGAAAATCGAAACTTAAGGTCTATAAAACTATCATCAGACCGATAGTATGCTATGGATGCGAGACATGGGTTTTGACAGAAAGCACTAAACGAAGATTAGAGGTTTTCGAGAGAAAAATCCTAAGGAAGATCTTTGGACCCATCACTCAAAATGGGATGTGGAGATCTAGATATAACCATGAACTCTATCAACTGTTCAAAGAAGCACCTATTGCAGAGTTCGCTAGAGTACAAAGGCTTCGATGGGCTGGTCATGTGGTACGGATGGATGCCGACAGATTGCCGAGAAAGGCCTTGGATGGTAAAATGCAGGGCAGAAAACCAAAGGGAAGACCACGTAATAGATGGGAGAACGAAGTCACAGCAGATGCGCACAACTTATTGAACGTCAGGGCTTGGAGACGAGTGGCGCGGGATTGCCTTTGTTGGAGGCAGAAGTTACAGGAGGCCAAGGCTCAATTTGGGCTGTAGCGCCATTGGAAGAAGAAGAAGAATTGGACATGCGTCATCTAAACATACACCTGTATCGAGAGATATAAAAGAAGTCGACATGTATTTGTCTGATGATTTATTACTCACAAAAAATTTCGAACGGAGATTGGAACTGTCCATAACCGTGTTGGAAAAACCATCGCCATGTATAACCTATTAAGGTATATTATTAGTAGTATAAT